TATATATATATATCGTCATGTCCCCATTTGCAACTGAATTTGATTTTGGATGCCACAGAGAGATTATGCATGAAAACATACATGTGTACCTTAAATCTGTGTTGTGTGCTGCTCTATATGACGTAATTTATGCTCTTAGCTGAAAATGGTGTTTTGTAAAGTGGTGGTGAGGCAGGAATGTGTGTGTTTATGTATGTCTCCAAATGTATACAAACTCGATCGGAGCAAACTTAACACACTTTAAGGCATTATCAATTTTGACCTAGAAAATGGTTTACTTCTAGTGTCTGTGCGTATACGCGCAGGTCCACATTTGTGTAGCATATACATATATAAATATGTATGTACCACCCAAGAGTTTCTCACTCGTTCGCTCTCTCACACATAATTATGATTCTGTGGGCGTGTGTACGAAACAGAATTGCACACAGGTTCCGTTAAATATACCTTAAAACACGAAAGGCATTAACATAGCATATGAGCATACCTCCGCGTAAAGCTAATTGAATTTTTTGTTTATTTTTTTGCCCTTGCTAATTTTCATACGTACATATTTAATCTTTAGTCCATTTATATACACGCACGTACTATTATATACAAAAGCATTTGTATGCATGTATAAAATAATAAATGGATCCGTACGAAATTTGCACGAATTACAAATGTAAACCTTTAATTTATTATCGATTTTTTCGTTTGTTTCTACATACATTGTTTTATGGCTTTAATAAAATGTACATGTATTGATATAGAACACAACTCAAATGTTAAAAAAAATAAATCTATTGGGATTTCGAAAGTCATCTACTACAATGTTGTCATTAGAAATTTATAAACAACGAACTAAATACACATTAAAAAAAATGGGAATACGCTTATTGACTATATAAAAATTAGATCCATTTTATATAATATATCATTTGTTCCCGATCTCAAAAGATATACTACAGTAGGTTAATAGTTAAATGAAAAGGTACATATTTTGCCAATCCCGTAAGAATCTTATATAGGTAATTAACTAGAGAATCTCAAAAATTTTAGGCTTCCGAATTATACAGTGTTGCAGTGGTGCTATACACAAAACCGRTTTGGTCTTTATGCTAGGTGAAGCAGAATCTTTTATTATACCCTGAACCCATT